CGTACGTTGTTTGGCCAGCCAGAAGTGATCGTCCACTCGCTAGTCTGCAAGATTCAGGAAATGCCAGCACCGAAGACGAAGAAGTTAGGAACTCCGATTGATTTTGGTGTTGTAGTCCAGAATACGTGCGCAACGATCGTAGCCTGTGATTTGAACGAGCTCTATGTAACGTGGTACTCATTCAAGAACCTGTTGAAAGACTGCCACCAACTGTGAAGCTCGACTGGGCAAATCATCGTCAAACACTGACAGCGGTCACATTATCGGAATTCAGTACATGGTTGGGTACGCTCGTGGAAGTAGCATACGTAGTAACGGTTCCGTCGACGATCGGCACGTACGTTGGTAAACCTGAGAAGCGTGATCGATAAGAGGAAGTACATGTGCATGTCGAGTCAGTCCATGGTTCAGCATCTAGCTACAGTCCAGCATCATCAAGAGGGCTACTCCAAAGCCAGCCAATAAGCAGTGCATTATTTGCCACGGAAGATGCTGCAGTGTAGGATCGTATAAGAAGATTCAAGAACTGGACATTGGAGGGTGATGGTAAGCGCTGAAGCAGAACAAGTTGTGCCGGAAGTGTTTGACGAAGGATTTCGGAGCGTGTGCGGTAAAGCAAGCTTGCAGAAGGAACGGTTGTTCATACATGCATAATCGGCTGCTACAAGATGATTCCAGATATCAGCCGATGCGTTCCAGTGCTCCTTCAAGGACGAGGAAAGTCTGTACGCGTATTCGCCTTTTTGGATGACGGTTCATCAGTGACGTTGATGGAACATAGTTTGATGAGAAAACTGGATTTCGAAGGTGAATCGTATCGCTTGTGTCTGAGCTGGACAGCAGATCATCAACGCCAGGAAATGGACTCCGTGATGATTGCGTTAGAGATTTCTGGAGTGCATGATGCGAATACCAACTGGATTCCAAAAGTGCGCACCGTGGATGATTTAGCTCTACCGCGGCAAACGCTTGCGATGGAAGAATTAGCGCGAAACTATCATCATTTGGAAGGCATGCCGGTTGATGCCTATTGCAACGTCCGACCGCGGATGCTCATTGGAATGGATAACTTCCGCTTGGGTTATGCGCTGGACAGCAGGGAAGGACGCAAGGAAGAACCGATAGCTACAAAAACACGCCTGGGCTGGATAGTGGTGGAACTTCACAGCACACCACAGCTTCCACGTGTGCCAGTGCTGCAAGCGGAGTGACGCAGAGCTCCATAATGTGGTTAAAACTTACTTTTCACTGGACAATACTGTCAATACTGGAGCAACGAGCCCTTTTAAACCACTTTTATCAATGCGCTACGGTTTCAGGATCAGTTTCCGATGGCAGCTGAAGCGATAATGACACAACATTACGTTGATGATATGCTCTCTAGTGTGGAGACGGAAGAAGACGCGATAAAGCTAGCAAAATATGTCTGGTTTGTTCACGCACAGGCAGGGTTCGAAATACGGAATTGTTTGTCGAACTCAAGTCGAGTGCTACGAGAGCTAGAAGTAATGCCAGGAGAGAAAAGCCTTAGTCTGCCGAGCGAGATGGGAACGCAAAAAGTCCTTGGCTTCTGGTGGTGCGCCGCTAACTATACCTTTAGCTTCAAATTATCGTCAAGGATTAACGCCGAGTTACTTCAGGGTCTCATTGTACCAACGAAGAGGCAGATCCTAAGTACACTGATAATGATCTACGACCCACAAGGACTACTGGCACACTTCCTAGTGTTCCTGAAAATATTACTTCAGGAAATTTGACGTAACGCTGTTAATTGGGACGATCCTATCATGAACGATCAGTGGGAGAAATGGCAGACGTGGTTATGAGTTCTTCCGCAAGTGGAGACCGTCAGCGAGCCTAGATGTTTCTGGATGTAGATGAGCACTCGCGAACGGAATGCATCAGAAAACGGGTTTGTTGCAGTTGCCTACCTGCGATTTGAAGAAGATCATGTAGTGCAATGTGCCCTCGTCAGCGCGAAAACACGGGCAGCTCCATTGCGATTCGTGTCAATTCCCAGACTAGAACTTCAGGCAGCAGTAATCGGAGCCCGCTTGGCGAACAACATTCTGGAGTCACAAAAGCTTAAATCTACAGAACGGTTATTTTGGCCAGATTCACGCCCCGAGTAGCACACTTTCATCACAATAAGTTATAGCAACTTTTTTATGACTGAAATAAGTCGTATATAAGTTTCTACAATTGATTTATGACAAGCGTGCTACTAGGGGCAACGTTCTTTGCTGGCTGATCTCAGATCACCGAAAATATAGCCAATTCGTAGCGGTGCGAATAAGCGAGATGTTGGAATTGGAAAAAAAGAATGGATCCCATCAAAGCTGAACGTTGCTGACGATGCCACGAAATGGCAGAGGCTAGCGGATCTTTCTCTTGCAAGCCGCTGGTACCGTGGTCCTGAATTCCGCTGGGGATTGAGAGAGAAATAGCCCGTTGCTGTGTCGAGATTCGATAACACCGCGGAAGAAAAGCGTCCGCATGTACTACACACCACTCCGTCGAACGTGCACTGTTCAGGTGGGAAGACTTTTCCAGATGGAAACGTTTGCTGCGCCACGTGGCCTTCGTAAAGCGATATCGATCGAATCTACGGAAAAGTTTATCGAAGGAGCCCATTGTCACCGGTCCGCTAACTCAAGAGGAGCTGAGAGAGGCGGAGTTGTTGATTCTAAAGTCGGTGAAAAATGCTGAGTTCACCGCGTAAATAGTCCTGTTGCAGAACGCGTTGTCGAGGAGTAGTTGACTGTATGGACTTAGTCCGTTCTTGGACAAAAGTGGACTACTGCGAATGAAGGGCCGCATAGACGCTTGCGAAAGTGTGGTCGAGTGTACGAAGCGCCCGATGCTGTTGCCAAAGCGTTATCCAGTTACAGACCTTATTATAGCCAGTATTCACCAGCAGTTCTGGCTCATGAACCAAATTAGACGTAGATTCTACGTACCTCAGCTATGATCGATGTACAATCGTGTGAGATCACAATGTTAGCACTGCAAGAATCGCATGGTAAAACCAATAGCCCCAGAAATGGCCGCTCTACCCCCACGCGTCTGAAAGCATTCTGTCGTCCCTTTTCCTATGTTGAAATCGACTATTTCAGTACAATGTACGTAGTCGTCGGTCAGAGGACCAAAAAAAAATAGGGTGTATTGATCACCTGCCTCACTGTCCGAGCAACACATTTTGAGGTTGCCCACAGCCTCACATTGCCCGCTTTGAAGTACTACTCCACTATCGGTGAGTCACTGGGGCAAAACGCCAGACAAACAGACAGGAACAGATCAAAAGAAAAGGCCGATAATGGAAGAAGATGTGCCAAGCGTATTTATTTAAATACACTAAACTAAACCTAGAATCACTTATTATAAAGCTGATACCAGAGAATCTACGGGTACATTCACGAATATCTAAAAAAACACAAAACTCATTGAAAACAGGTAAAAAAATGATAATCGTAACCTAAATTTGTAGAAAATTTGTTATTCATAACCTAACCTAAGACAAGACGGGACACTAAACTTAAGTCTCTTTATACATAAACCATTAAACTTACAGTAAACTTACCTAATTATCGCTTACGAATATTTTAAATTACTATGTTCTACAGAAACAAAGACTTATACTACTGTACAATTAAATTTTTGTTAGGAATGTTTTAACGTTATCAATTTAAATACAACGTTCAGAAAATCGAAAATTTGTCTCTTTCGTTGCAATCGCAACAGGTCGTTCTATAATGATGCTGAATCTAAATCAACTGGTGGTCATGCATGCATTAGGCTACAGCAGAAATGTCGATCCGCAAACCATCGAAAACTCTATGAAGGAAAATTTTACGGCGTGCAAGCAGCTGATCGGATGTTCCGTCCGGAGTTGGTGTTGCGGGGCTTCCTTGTGACGACCCTCACCTGCCATGATTGCTACCATGTATCCTCGCGGCACGCCCGGACCTGATGCTCTTTTTCTTTGCAACCTGCAAACCGAAAGCCAGTCGTGCCGTTTCCAAAAAGAACAAGAACCTGCTCAATTCGGTGGTGGGATTGGGAACGGATTCCGGTGCCGGTGGAGGAGCCGACGAAAGAATGTCCGATGCGGGTGTGGAAATCAATCTAACGGACTCGAACACGATGCACGGAGCTTATTCGAATCAAAGCTCTCTAATTAAAATAAAATATTCAAAAGTATTCCTATTTTTGTTATTATTTATAACAGGAAAATATAAAAACAAGTATGCAATAAAATGAATGACAACAACATCAAAACCCAAACACGAATAAATAACGATTATACAAAGATATAATACGTGCACTTTATTCACTGCTATGTATAAAGCAATTTTGTACTAAGTTCGTATTCTCCTCCTTTATACCAAGCGGGCTCAGGAAAATCATTTGAGTGTAGCGAAGTGAGTCGAAGCAACCCAGCCGTATAGGTACATACTTGTATGCAACTTTTGCCACCATAACGACTCACATCTAATCAGTGGAGCTACATTAAGAACTGGGTTGTCCCTCGCCGACTGTTATGTTTACATTTTTTGTTGTTGCCGGCATCCGTTTCGGGGGCAGCCATAATCAAGCTATGCATTTAAAGTATATTGCAATTCTTTCCAAGTATTCTGTTAATATACTGTTAATAAATGATTGCAAAGGGAATGAAAATCATGTGTGCGAATAATACAAATATAATTCCTTCAAACTTCTTGAAGGTCATACTAATGATTTTTATATCGGCATTTATGAATGCGGCTGATTATTAAAAATCTGAGTGAAGGTCAGTTTTGTGTTTCCGCTGCGGATACAAAACAAGCAACCAGCTGATGGAAAAGTATCAACAAATTCACTCACACAAACGTGATAGGTAGAAAACAAAAAACCTTAGGTACGTCATCTGTCAAAGAGACGAAGAAAAAAAATTGTCCTGCTTTCTGTCAATAGGGTGTTGAAGTCGCTCCATCATTAGTCATAGAAGTTTATTTTTTCACCTTAGATGCATCGTTTGCAATATTCGTTGAGAGGTAGTGAAACAAATAGTAGATTTATTTCCAAGCCGTACTAGCTGCTTCCGAAAGGAGAACTGGGTTTGGCCCAATTCGGGCAAACCAAAGGATAGTGAAAATGGATAAACTTTCAATGTTCAGCAGTTTGCAAAAATCGATCGATACTCTCAAATCGACGGAATGCAGGTGAGTTTTTGTGTTTTGATTTTATCGAGAAGGTGCAGTCCCATGTTGGATTTTTTTTCAGTCAAAAAGAGAAGATTACTCACTTTGGCCAGATAAGCGAAACGATCGTTTCGTACAGATCCAGTTCAATGAGCAGCAACTTTCAGAACCACTTGAGTGCAGCCATTGGAACATTGTTGATGTTCTGTGAGGAAACCGATTCAACCATCCGGATGAGCGCCGAGGAGAATCTGAACCGGATTGTGAGATTCTGCGAAGGAAATGGAAGCATCGTTAGGGTCCAAATTGATTTGTATCACGAGATTAAGAAAAATGGAAACGAGAAAGCTCTCCGGGTTTGTTTGGCACTCTTTGGACACTACTGTGGAGCAATCAAACAACGCAAAGGAAAAACGTATGCACAAAATTTACTACCCTGCATTTTTGCCATTTCGAAGCGAAGGGAAACACAGGTGCTGGAGAGTTTGGCAACGTTTGTTGATGTTTTCACAAGAAAACTAGAAAGTTATATGACTGATGGAGAAGTTCTAAAAATAACGGAGGTATTCGTGGAAGATCTGGCTGCAGAATGTGCAACCAAGCGGCGATGTGCGGCTCAAAACATTGATTCGTTCATTGCGTGGTCCAGATGTCCTGAATTTTATGCAAATAACACCTTTAACCGATGCATTGAAATGCTGCTTAAAAATCAAGAACAGTATGCGGTATTGGGAGTGCTTACCTGTTTTCGCGGAATATTACCAATTGTGTTAAAACACTCAAATCCTGAAAAGTCTATAGAAATTCTGGACCTGGCCTTGCATTTTTTGAAAGATGGAAATCATAGTGTGGTAAACGCTGCACTTGAAGTTATTGCTATTATTTTGAACAATCTTCAGCCTTCAGCAAGAAAACTTCTGCTCTCGAAGGACTTGGAGCATCGATCATGTCTGTTGAAACGTAAAACTTTGAAAAATTCCGTTTTCAAAATCCATCTGAGCGAAAGTCTACTCGGTTCACGCAAATCCAGCACTGACGCTCGAATGGATTCAATCAAACCGGATAAAGGGATGTCATTTCTGCAAGTTACTTCAACTCCAACGAAATTCACACCGGGAGATGATAAATCTTTGGCATCCGCATCCGATTTGGAGATGGATTTCTTTCGAAGCATGGAGTTTGACAATTCGCTTCAGATGGCGAGTTGCAGTCCAGAGAAGGAAATGAAATCAAAACCCGGCCAAGCAGATAATGTGTCTTTGAAGAGTCAAAAATCCACCGATTCAATCGGTTCGTTTATCAACACTTTTCTTACGACCAGCTCGAGCGCTGGGGAATCGGTGAGTAAGTTTTTCCGAAAGTCATTTGATTCTCCGGCATCCGGGTCGACGCCTGCGAGAGAGGTTAATACCATGAGACGAGCGGATGAAGATGATCTGTCGCTGGAATCGCTGGCTAGTAGTCAAATTTCGATCCAAAGTAGTAATGCTGATACAATCAAGAATGAGCTGGACGTTATGTTGGAGGTTGATGATTCTATTGGGACGGAAACGGCTACTCTGGCAGAGGTGATCCGAGAAAGCACGATTCCTGAGATGGAGAATGCGGATGCAGATACACCAACGGCGTCCCTTGCGGGGTAAGTTCAAATGTTGGGCATTCGGCTGGATTTTTGTTAAAACGAATATTGATTTGTTTATAGAGCAATGGAGGATATCGACGAACCATCCGGGAGTCCTACGCGGGATGTTTTCATTGGTTTTATTTACGATCAAAATATTGTCGACTACACAGCCCGCCTCATTTCTTCTAAATTTCTGCTGTCAGGAACTCGACATTGCCTTATACCAGACTACTCTGTCCGTGTTTCAGTGAAAAGTATGTCGCTTCAAATCCTATCACTATGTGTACAGCTCCGACCAGAAGTTCTACTGCTTCCGCTGGAAAAAGACGAACCAAAGGATGAATTTGATGTGGTGGAAATTCTCAATCTGGAAGATGCAATCAATGAAATGGCCAACGAAGCCATTTTGGAGGCGGACGAGAATCCCTCTGCCGGTGGAGAAGCAGCGTCTGGTCTGGAAGCTGAAGGGCTGTTGGAAATAAAAGAGGACCACTTTGGAGATTGTGACAGCTCAACCTATTTTGAATACTTTTCACCTATGAGCATCAGTTTGGATCAAGGGCTGACGTCGCTGAAAACGAAACTGAAGATGGTGGAAGAAAATTTCAGTACGATGGCCACCGACAGTCAGGAGAAATTGAGTAAGGAATTGGATGCAATCCTTTCACAGTCTGATTGCAGCGGAGACTTGGTGAGGAGAGGAGAGCGAAGAAAGGAGCTATTGGTAGTTCCCAAAGTGGTTACGAGCAAGGGAGATGTGGTAACGAAGCGGCTTGCAGTCGATAAAGAAGACGAACAACAAATGATAGCTGATGTTTTATTGTTTTACAATCATGCCGATCCGATGCTGAAGGGAAATGTGTTGCTGATCATTGGAAACTTTTTAAAACTAGTGCTGGAAAACAATGCAAGCGTGGGGGCATTCCTCAGTGCCAATGACTGGAAGACTACATTGGGTAGCTTCCTCAATGAAGATACGTTGTTGCAGATTATTGTTCAGGTAACGATTCACTTACTTTACGGATGTATAAGGTTTTCTATTAAAGTGTAACACCTCTGTTTTAGGGCTTTACAGATGAGATTCACACGGTTGTGAACCAAGCCCTTATTGCGTTTGAGCTTGCGTTTACGCCCTTTTGCAAAAATCAACCTTATAGAGGTCCATTCGAGGAAGATCATAAGTCACTACCCAGTACATTCAGTTTTCATAAGCCATCCAGCACAAACCTTCTCACAAACATCGAACCACCACCCAGAATGACTGCAGGAAATCTACTCAATCAAATTTTGCTGGTTTTCCACAACAAATATTGGCTGGTGCAGTGCAAAGTTTGCGATGTAATTGTAAACTTGAATTTTGAGGTTCTAGAGGGTGTGGCTGGAGCTGAAAAGGCACACATAATCCAAGATAAGTGTCTACAGCATGTTTTGCTGCTGCTGCGAGATAACGATTTCAGAGTGCGAAACCATGCCGGCCAGAGTCTTGTTTGCTACATCGAGAACTCATCCGGAATTTGCAATATGGCTGGCGTACAAAGAGAAGAAGAAATCTTAGAATGCTTTGTTAAAGACTTTGTGCTGTCGAACTTTGCGCAACCGATCGATGTACGTAGTTTGCAAAGTTCTAGGGGTAGTCAAACTTTTGCTGAGAACACAGCGAAAATTTTGTACATTATGAGTAACCAACTTCTGAATGTGGGCGATCGAAACCAGTTGGTGAGCATATATTGGGTGAATCTTAATTTGAAGCGTAATCATGCAACATTACTTGTGTACTTTAGCTTGGAATCATCAACTTCTTGAAAGTGTTCATCTCTAAATACAACCCGTTTGAGTTTCTGAAAATTTGGAACGAATTCAACTTGCTGAATGTTTTATCAAGTTTGATGAATGAGCATACTGGAACTGCACTTGATTTAACTGCACAGAATGACTTGATGGAATTGTGTTCGACGCTTCTGATTGGTAAATGCCTATCAATTCTATCAGACGATCATTGATTAAATCTTCGATCTGCATATTTCAGTGACGGTATCGTCAAAACCAATCACCAGTGCAGACAACGAGACGATTGACAAATTCATCTTTCATATCCTCAAGATTTTAAACATCTACCAACATTTGCTTCTGCTGCCCGTTGTTGTTTCGAAGCCACCAAAAGGAGATTTGTTTGCTAATCCCAAAGAGCTGCAATTGGTCAATTGCTTTGGGTACTTTGGAAACGACCCTTTTTACGTTAAACTGTACAATCTGTTGAGGAATGCGTTCGAAAGTTATAAGGTTACTATTGACCAAATTACTCCCCCGGTAAGCGATCCTAACTAAACATTTCCATTCACAGATCACCATCTCCACCGACGTGGGGCAAAAGATGTTCGGTTTATTACGCACCACAATTGCCAGTCTCTGGCGCATACTGGAAATCAAAAGCATCTCTTCCATGACAAATGGTTTCAAGTTCATCGAGGAAGTCCTCCGGTACCTCATAACGTTTCTCTCGTATGAACCAGAGTACTGCGTTCGATGCACACAGTTTCTGCTGAGGTTTCTTTTCACCTGCAACTATGTCAATCGTCTAGATGAGGTAGACTATTTCCGCAAAACAAGCCAATTCCTGTCTCCATCTGATGTGGCTGGATGTAGAATGCTGCTCGATCGGTACTACGAGTTCTACAAATGCAAAACGGTTACTTCCGTTTCCGATCTGGGTAGCTACATTAAGCAGTTCGAACAGATGGTTATCGCATGTCTGAAGATCTACTCGAAAACAACAGCCAGGGTACAGGCCGTCATTCTCGAACTGCTTTGTCAGCTGCTTGATTTCAACATTAACTACCAGCTGTTGGACTCGAGTAATGTGTTTGTGGAAAGCATTCTGAAACATATCGAACTTTTAGAAACAGGATCTATTCCGGATTCGGAGCGACTAATGCCGAAAATCGTAAAATTTCTATTTCTGTTGTCCCACTCCAAAGAGCGCTCGAAAATCATCAACATTCCAAAGATCATCAATATCTGTGATAATTTGCTAGCAAATGCATTGATTCGAAAAACGGCCATAGCATCGCTTCAAGCCCTGGTACATGAAATATTTTTCCTGCACCGGATTGCTCCCGCTGATCGTACCAGCGAATTGATACTGGCAGAAGTTGGCACTCAGAAGGAAGTTATTTTGAACATGATGATTAAATTTCCCGAGGAGGTTCAGTGCTACGAAATTGCTCCGATGGTGTTGCTGGCAGAGAGGCAATCCGAACCAGGAAAATATGAGGCTGATATACTGAATGCATTGGTTGGGGCGATGCAGGAGAAGAAGCTGACCATAAGCTGCGACCAAGAAAGAGTGATTGTGCATAGAGTTTTGAAAGTATTGGATAAAGAAGTGATATTGGATAGAGCAGTGCTTCAAAATTTCTTGGAAATTGTTAGCGCAACCGCCAATAGAAAGGATTTATCACTCAATCAAAAGATGATCTATTATCAGCTGATTTTCGAAAACGTTCTACTGGCAACTGAGGAGATGTTTCTACTGGAGCAAGTGAAACAATATTTCAAAGAGGAGTCTTCGTCGGACGCAGAAAAAAAGTTCGTTAAGTTGATCGTCAATATTTTGTACGATGCAATTGAAGATTTTCAAGCACAAAAGGAAAACAACTGTCTCCGAGATAATCTAATAAGAATGATTTGCATATTTGGAAAATTCAGCAACTACCCAAAGATAAAGAAGCTTATGGCTGACACCATCAACATCAATAAGCTAGGTCAAAACAACCCAGATTTTCTGTTCCAGTCTCCGGTCATCGACTTTTTGGTTGACTATGACAAAGAGTTCAAAGCAATTCAGCTAACATTGAATGGAACTCGTGGAACGGTGACCTTCGAACAGTTGACCAAAGTGTTGATCAAAACTTTTATTGAACGCAAATCCACAAAATCCAACTGGTCCTCGTATGAGATTTCCCATCTCATCGATCATCACTTCACCATTCTATTGACCAACTTCAATACATTCCTCCTCGAATACGTCCCTTTAGCAGAGTATTCCGATGTGATTGTATCGAAAACAATTGCTAACCTCCACTCGACTGGTTCCAGTTTCAAATATTTCATTTTGCTGGACAAATCCCACCTGATTAGCCTTCCACTCTTAATAGAGAAGCTGACAGAGTTTCTTACAGAATCCAACGTTATAACTTCCCGCAGGTCAGCCCTAGTGCTAGATTCAAAACTAAACGCCTTGCTGAAAATTGATTCTTTAGAAAGCGAGAACGTCCAAAAAATCCTACCGCATCAAAAATTTAGCAAACTGTTCAACATCTTCACACCAGAGCGACGCAAAAAGTTTCCAAAACTATTCAAAACTATTCTGCTTCTGGTTCGCTTCTATGAAGGTCTGAGTCCCCCTGAAGATCTCGTTCCTCAAATCGACTTGCAAAACCTCAAACAGATAACCGTTGACGAAGCATGGTTTATGGATCAAATCAGCTTCCACTGTACCAGAAAATCGTATACTAAACCAAAGAACATCGCCCGCATGCTGCATGAAATTAACTCGGAAAGCAAACTTATCAACTTCCTGTCTAATAACGGCTTCAATTTCCGATTGCTGCGAGAAGTGATTGTTACTGCATTTGAAAATATGTTCCACGCTTTCCGCGTTGACTGCGTACAGTTCAATCCCCATCTGAACTATCTAAAGGTACATCCCATGCTGAAAGTAGGTTTGATCGTACTCATGAGAAAACTGGGTGAGATCAATTGCAGCCCGGAGAGCGAGTTGGATGAAAGAACCGTCCTGCACTGCGTCAAATCAACCATCTGCTTTCTGGAAAACATTTCTCGACTTGAACATCTCTGCCTGATGTACGTGGAAGCCCGTTTTATCGATCGTTTCGTCAAGGACCATATCCTGAAATCAAACTTTTATGAAACTCTACTGGTCTTTGCCAGAAATTGTGCCAAACTTCTTGCATCAAAGCTGAATACTACCAAACTGAACGACATCACCACACTAGAACAGTACCTCAAGTGTATCGATCTTATCTTGCGACAAAAGTGTCTCTGGACTGAACTCAATCAAAACGACAAATACTTGGCGGAGCAAAATCTGATCATACGGTTGATATTCAACATCGTAACAGAACATTTGCGAGAAAACCTCTTCCTGACACGATACCACCCGCCGGAGATATTCGCTGAACTCATCGCGCATCGTTACGATCAGGTGGAAGTATTCCTACAAGCTATACTGATAGCGCAGTACGTGTCCGAACGGGATACTATCAATGCTGGCGAAGATTTGGCGGAATGCTCGGAACAACAGTGGTTGCTGATGAGAACGACAGAATCGGTGGCAATTGCCTTGCTGAAAATGGATCGGTTCTATTCGGTTGCAATGACCCCCACGGAGGTGTTCAACTGTTACAGCCTAGATGTGGACGTTGAACCGTTGAAGCTGCCTTCGGTGCCGATCGACTACCTGTACGAACTGGACACTTTGGAAGTGTATTTGAAACGGTATGTAGCATTAGATTGTTAGGGCTATCATCGATTTACTTCATATTTATCTCTCTCTCCAGGGTAAATATTTTCGGATATTCATCGAAGCAGCAATTTGAAGAACTTTTCATGTCACTGCTGGTGCTGATAAACCGGGAAGGCGATCCTGCAATAATCAGTAAGTAAAGATTTAACAAAGCTGTCTACCATTGTTGATGTCTAAATAAGTGTAGGATACATACTTCTTTTTGCATTTGAAGCTCTTACAGTAGCTTTGGCATGTACTCAAATTACTGTCCTTTGAAGCACTTCCGCAGTTATTAATCGAGAGCCACCAGCACAATGCTACTCTAATGCTAGGAAAATTGAAAAAAATTCCATCCCGAATGATTTTCTAATCCAAACCGAGTATTTTCGGAACGGAAACAACGCGTAAAGGTCGAAAATCGGTGTTCAACGCCATTTTGGTATCCATGATAGTGGCCATCGGGTTCATAAAAGTGTCAAATACCCTATGGTTAATATTGGAACCATATGCAAAAGGTCTAAAGAACGGAAAGTCTAATCGACAATAAGTTGCATGGGGTTTTAGTATTACAGATCAAGATCCCAAAAATCGATGTCCGACTCTATTTCCGGAACCAAGATGGCGGCCATCGGGTTCAAAAAACTGTCAGATACCCTATGTCGCGGCCAAAAGATACTTTCTTCTCCGGTTAGGGAGAGTCTTTCGCTTACTAGGTTAGAAGCTGTTTTTTTGATTCTAGGAGTTTCTTTTTTCTCCGGTTAAGGAGAGAAGCTTTCACTTCTAGGCCGAAAGTTCTTTCGGATTCAAAAATGAGAAGAATCTGGAGTAACCTACGAACTTAGTTATTTTCCATTCTGTACAAAGTGATCTTAAATCTATGTGTCACATTAGCGATCTATAATTATGTAAAATCATTTCCTGTCACTATGAAATTTTCCATGTCCCTCTCAATACCGAACTTTAAGCTAATCCCTGCTAGTTATAATCGAATTTCTGCGCGGGCTTAAAAAGGGCTACTCTATGTTTTCGAGTCCTTATATACTATGTTCTTTTCGGAACCGGGATTTCTCAATATGCTCATGAATTTATTGCTGCGAAATCTGTTTGCATAGCAGTGGTTATGAAAAGAGAAAGTCGATGAAGAGAATCGATTAAAGCAGATAGGACCATTTGAAAGGCAGCTACCACACCTGCGTAGAATATCGCACCCATTCAAATACACATGGGCCGGACCAACGGCTTTACTTCCCTTCCGAAGGAAGACATGACCAGAGATTTTAATGCCGCAGAAAACCCCCACCGACCTCAGCTGTGGTCCATTGGGGTGAGAAAGCAGTCACGCTATCACTACACCACCGGCGCCGGCGCAATCTTTGTCTGACTTGTCAACATTGACGTATGATCGAACCAACGAGCCAAAAAAAAAATCGGCTTCAAGCAAAGTGTTCTTGGATGACTTTCGTGCCACCGGAGGGCCTAACTTATTCGTAACACACTCGTGTATCCTTCATCTTGTTCTTATATTTCGTCCGGTTGTCGGCAGCCATTTGCCACGTTAGATGGTTCCAGCAATAGAAAAAAATATTTTAGAAAAAAAATTCCAACATTTATCTTGTGCCCATTTGTTTTGCGAATGAAGGTGGCGTAACCCCTTATTTAACCCCCCTTCCTGCACCAACAGGAGCGTTTGGTAAAAGAAATGCTCGTTTCCCTGGTAATCTGACCGTTTTTAATCTAATTTTTTTTTACTTTGACCAGGGTTACTTCCACTCACTTCGCTATAAAAAAATGTTTTTCGGAACTATGGAATCATTGGATGCTATTTATGAAAGTTTGTTCTTGTGGAAGGTATGTATTTGACACATAGAACCTGTCAATTTCACTTTCAGTGCGTCACAATCAGCGAATTTATGACTCGTGAGCATTCACTCAGAGTGAGCGCTTACGAATCATAAAATCACTGATTGTGACGCACTGAAAGCAATAATGACAGGTTTTATGTGTTAAACACCTACTACACTACTAACTATCATTATAATATCTAATGATTTCATAATTCCGAAAAACAATTTTTTATAGCAAGTGAGTGGAAGCAAGCCTGCTTTGAACCCCGCTAATCTGCACGTCGTACCTTACCTTGCCAATCAGGCTAAGGCCTTTTCGTCCTCTGCTGTCCGAAGAAGTCTTCTTCACTCTACTCGACCTGTGATCACACTTCGCCAACCTCGTAGTCTGCGAAGGGTTCGCAGGTCGCTTTCCACTTGGTCGATCCACTTTGCTCACTGCGTGCCTCCTCTTCTTGTCCCTGTTGGGTCGCTTTCGAGGACCATTTTCACTAGGTTGTCGTGCGGCTTTCTTACAATGTGCTCAGCCCACCGGAGTCACCCAATTTTTGCAGTGTGGAGGATGGATGGTTCTCACAGCAGCTGGTGTGCAATTCGTGGTTCGTTCGCCTCCTTCACGTTCCATCATCCATCTGCACTCCACCGTAGATAGTACGCAACACCTTCCGATCGAAAACACCAAGGGCGCGTTGATCCTCCACGAGCATAGTCCAGGTTTTGTGGCCGTAGACCGGAGCGTCCTCGGGAGTCCAAAGTAGGCATGATTCCCTGCCATAATGCGTCTTTGAATTTATCTGCTGGTATCATTTTCGGTGGTCACCAGTGAGCCCTAATACACGAACTCGTCAACCACCTCGATTTTGTCACCGTCAATCTGAGGTGGGATCGGGGTGGGAGGCTAACACTGTTTTCCCTAGAACCTCTTCCTCTCATGTATTTCGTCTTTGTTTCGGATGGAACTCAGCGGTCAAAAATAACAAATGGACTGTATAGTTTTTTACATCCGTACTCTACGGTAAGGTTAACTACCCCATTTCCGGCCTATTAAGCACAGCCCGCACTTAGTCTTTCTTAATCTAGCGCAGTTTAGCTCCAAATGGAATGTTATTATCACTGATGGCTTCCAATTTTATTTACCTTTCCGTACATACCGTAAGATTTGATAAAGAGAAACCAATCGTTGAGATATTGTCAAAAGTCTAACACTGCTTCTTGACGCCAAACTCGGCCTACGGATTCTAAACTCGGCCTACCGCATTGCAACGCGATTGAAACGCCAATGAATTCACTTCGGCCTATCGGATGAAGATAAAAAATGATTCGGTCGGAGCGCTTCTTTTGTTTATGGGAATAATGGGTGCAAACCTTTATATCACGCGTTCTCATTGACTTCGTTCGGTAGCTTATTAACTAAAGTATCGTACCAAACGCATAATTGACTTGTTAACTCTGAAATCATGGATTTATTTGAAGTTGTCTGCTCGATAGGCCCAAAATGGGCGATTAGGCCGAAGTAGTTCTTTACCCTATTCTGAATTCTCTGCTTCCCTTCTCTAACTGGAAGACGCGTAACAAGAAAATCTAGTTAAGGAACTGTCAAAACTGCGCTTGAGGGATAGGACATCGACCTACTCTACACTGAATCAAAAATACAGGTTTAGATTTTTCACTTAACATCCTCCCACCCAGGAGCCGGATGGCTCAACTTATCCGTCTGGCTGGTCCGTTCTACATCTTCTACGGGTAGAACAGCAATTTGCGTTGTAGATCGCTTGTACGTGCCATTGTTGGTTCGTACGGTTACCACCCGAACAACGCCATCATTTCCAGGGTGAGTTTTCATAATACGCCACAGTTTCCAAGTTTGCGGTGGCAAATTATCATCATTCATTATCACCAACAGTCCTTCACGAAGCAACGTGGGAGGTTTGTTCCATTTGCTGCGCTTCTGCAGTCCAGTTATATACTCAGATGACCATCTTCGCCAAAACGATTGCTTTCGTTTTTGGATCAATTGGTAACGAGACAACGTATTTTCCTTGAGACCATCGTAGCACGGTTCGGTTATAGCTGTCAATTCTCGGCCAACCAAGAAATGGCCAGGACTTAACGCCTCATAATCCATCGGATCGTCGCTTTGCGGTATTATTGGCCTTGAATTTAGGATGGATTCAATCTGAATCAGCAATGTTGTCATCTCTTCATAGGTGAAGTACGATTCGTTCATCACCTTATACAGATGACTCTTCATACTTTTTACTCCGGATTCCCAAAGTCCACCTTGGCGCGGAGCCTTCGGTGGATTGAAACTCCACGAGATTCGAGGCTGACAAAAATCTTCAAGCTTGTTCTCCAGCAATTGAGATTTCAGCAACTCTCTCAATTCAGCCAATTGTCGCTCAGCGCCGACAAAATTGGTTCCATTGTCAGAAAACATCTCAGTGACATTCCCACGGCGTCCAACGAATCCCTCTGCAGATAAGGAACTCACAAGCTCAAAATGTATCGCTTTAGTAGTCATACAGACGAAAACACTAACGTACGACTTGATCGGTGTCTTCGACCGACGTTGCTTCAACAAAAAAGGGCCTGCGTAGTCTACTCCCGTTCTAGCGAAAGGCTGAGCAGCGGTGACGCGTGCAATCGGCAAATCACCCATAAGGGCCTGTTCATAAACTACGTAGACAGTTTTTTTTTGGGATTCTTGACCCCCCCCCCCTCCCCTTGCGTAGACAATTGTCCATACAATTTTTTTAAAATTTGTATGGGCCGTGGATAATTGCCACCCCCCCCCCCCTAAACTGTCTACGTAGTTTATGAACAGCCCCTAAACTTCTGTACATCCTTCGGCTTTAGTCTGAAGCATTTGATGCACTTCCCTAGGACGCGTTTGATCGTACGCTTCGCATTTACTGGCCAAAATTGTTGCCTGATTTTAGCCAATAATCCATTTAGACCGACGCACAGTGGTGCCAAGGGTATCAAAACACGCGCTTTTTTATTTACTCTGAAATGGTTGATTAAAGGTACTAGGTGTCTTCTGAGAAGTTTCTTGGGTAACACCACTCATTTTTATGGTGAAGAAAATTAAAGATTAATCCACCTAACAGTGAGATGCAAAGTTTATTTTTTTAATATGATGAGATACAAAATAATTGTTTCCGGCAAAGCTGTAGAGAACATTACTGTGAACAACTTTGCTTGAGACTATAACTTTCTAGTTCTTATAACTACTGAGATATAAAGGTTTTTTTTTTGTGGAGACATCGTTAAAATAAATTTTGTACCTGTAAGTTTTTCTACAATATTTATACATGTTTGGCATGTTCTACAAAGATGTTAAAAATATCAATTCACATATCTTTTAACAAGACTGCAAAATGCTATCATTAATATTTGACAAGTTATTTACATTTTTTGGTTGAAAATTACCCAACTTTCAATACCAATAACTTCTAAACGGGCAAAAACGAGCAGGCTATTCTTTGAGCAATTGGAAGCAGTGCTGAGATTTGTCATTGTCATTGACAGACTTTCGCGCGATATTGACAAAATTGTTCGTCACATAGTCACTGACAGACTTGATCCTCAAAAAAACCTTCGTCAAAATCTCATTCATTTTTTCGTCAATGACAAAGATTCACCTGGTAACAAAAAGTGTAATTTAGTACATTCTGTGTCGCATTATTGTTATCCAAGAAGCTCAGGACGTAGACTGTTATCGAGTAGGTGTGAAAAGAGGCATACAAATGGACAACCAAGCAACGTGGGTTATTTCTAGTGACTAACAAAATGACTCGGGATTAAAATCAGACCACCCCCAAACGACCCTTGACTAAATCGCTTATGTACTTTAAATATTTTTCGATTTTGTCAATAAACAATAACAAAACGATAATGTAAATCGTTTTATTTTATTAGTATTAATATTTGTTTTTTTTTCAATAATAATATTGATTATTAGACCTAATTTAATTAGAATTTTATTGGGATGAGATGGGTTAGGTTTAGTTTCATATTGTTTAGTTATTTATTTTCAAAATTTAAAATCTTATAATGCTGGAATATTAACAGCTTTATCAAATCGAATTGGAGATGTTGCCTTATTATTGGCTATTGCTTGAATATTAAATTATGGTAGTTGAAATTATATTTTTTTATTTACCTAGATATAATAAAGTCAAATTTTGAAATAATAGTTATTGGAGGATTAGTTATATTAGCTGCTATAACTAAAAGAGCTCAAATTCCATTTTCTTCTTGACTACCTGCAGCAATAGCTGCTCCCAACCCTGTTTCAGCTTTAGTTCATTCTTCAACTTTAGTAACAGCAGGAGTTTATTTATTAATTCGGTTTAATATTTTATTAGCAAACACTTTTTTAGGTCAATTTTTATTATTAGTTTCTGGATGTTACATTGCCAACATTTCAAAGGGGCGTAATTGCTGTTGTAAACAATGGCTTTAGCTATCGATTTCTCGCTAATAAAATCCCATTCTTCCAAATTAACAATGCTAGTTGGTAAAGAAAACATTCCTCTAACTGCTAGTGTCATTATTCTTCATGAGTGAGCTTTTATTCAAGAGAAATCGACGGCTAAAGCCATTGTTTACAAAAGCAATTATGCCCCTTTGAAATGTTGACACTGACATTTCGAATTTCATGAAACACAGCGGATCGTTTCTTATCCTCTAGGCCGGCGCACAATGCATACGTTTTCGGGTTTTTTGACACATAATGCATGGGCTAACTTTCAAAAAACCTGAAAACGTATCTATTGTGCACCGGCCTTCTCACTCCACTAAAAATCCCGTAGGCAAAATATTAATCATTGCGTGAAAGTAGGGGTTGCCCCGGTACACACTCTATTTCTAAACAACCCAAATTTGAGAAGGATGCACTGATGCTCGTCAAAAGTAGGGTACCCCAAATTGAGTAAACAAAGTTTAGACAAACAAGATGGAAAACATCGACCTGAATCCGAACGATGTTGTTTATTTGTCATCTTGTCAGTTCCAACATTGTTTGCTCAATTAATCATTTTGTCAAGTTTCTGCATTCATGTTCCATCAGATGTCACTGCTGTTGTTTTCGGTTACATCTATCGGAAACTACACACAATCTGTTTTCCTATGATTGTTCACAGAGGACACTGCAGTGCAAAACATGTCTGGTTTCTCTATATATGCATTTAGATTAACATCCGAAGTCCCTCCCTTTTTACACATTCTGCACACAAAATTGCTCACCCCTCAAAGAATGTCCGGCCAATTTTTATATATGGGGCGAGGCAGAAAGTATCTTTTGCGCAGAATATGTAAAAAAGGAGGGATTTCAAATGTTAAAGCAAATGCATGTATAGAGGTACCAGACATGTTTTGTAGTGTCAGGTACTCTATTTTGTAATCTGTGAAAGGGAAATCACAAATCGAGTGTCAACAAAATACATGACATGCTGAGAGATTGAGGTCGTGAGAGCAAATTCTCTCTCTCAAATTTGAATATTTGGGCTCTCTGAGAACTGGTAGTAAAGCAGGTAAAACTGTATGGGGAAAAATCATTTTTATTTTATTGTAGCTTATCTATTTAACAATAATTTCCGGAAAAAAAAACTGAACGACAAAGTCCCTGATTAATTTCTTTAGGTTGTCGTTCACTTTTTTCACCTGAATATGCACCGAAAGTGAATTATTTCCATTTCTCTCAATTTCTATATGAGGTTTTTTATCACTTCCTATCAGCGGAACAGCGCCATCTCTGTGGAAAATCGTCGAACAAAATGATTAATTTAGGTTAGCCCTACTTTTGACGGATTAGTAGATCCTACTTAAATTTGGGTTGTTTAGAAATAGCGTGCAGTCAATCCTGCCGTCAAAATAAACTTCACGGCAAAGGAGACTGACTCATATTTGAGTACCGTTTACTTAAACTTACAAAAGCGTAGGACACTCGTGGAATGAGTAAATTTTGTTTATTAAATATGAGTAAATGTCACTCAAATTTGATTGATTGAACCATTTTTTGTCGTGTTTGCCGTATTAGATGCTAGATAATAGCTTCTTTTATCGAACTATGTGTTGAAAATAGCTGAAAGCTACTTGGCCGTGGCGAGGCAAAAAAAAAATCTACAAGGAAATTCTGTTAATGTTACTTAGGAGTTAATGCATTGTTCGGCTTGCTATCAATTGACTTGACGGTTATGTGTATGTGCGGTCGTGAGACGATCTATTTGGCTTTATTTTTATTTTAAAAGCATCGTGATTTATGTTATCTTGTCCAACCAGAAAGAAACACTGTCTCTTTCATTCTCGTCAGTTCTTACGCGAAAAGCGAAAGTGACGTCAACAATGTGTATACGTATGAATGAGAAGGAGTGAAAAAGAAGTTCGATTTCACATGGCGAACCTTTGTAGATCGAGGTTCATCTTCGATAGGACGAAGTTGCATCGATATAGACCCAATTTGGAATGGTGACAGTGAAATCACTACTGCAGCTCAATTATTACATTAGATACGGTATAAATGTAATGTAATTGCAGGTTTCATATTAGACCGAGGCTAGGGACATATACCCTACCACCTACGAATTTATTCGTGTTACTCAGAGGTGTCGTAGTAAAATTTGTTTATTATAAAGAAAACCAAATATCGGTTTCCAAGAACTGAACGCCGGCAAATCACGACTATCCTCGCCTAAAGCATTGAGCCTTTCTCTAAAGTATTCATAAATAAAAAAAACTATCTATTATCGAATTAGCAATATAAGTACACTCAAATTAAGCGAAGCTAACTGGTTTGCTAATAGTTTAAGAATTTAACTACATCGCTAGCGGCGCCGGTGGTGTAGTGGTAAGCGTGATAACCTCTCACCCCAGCAGGCCTACGTTCAATCCCAGTCGGCGCCGCCGGGATGTTCTGAGGCAGAAAGTCTGGCGCACAATGTATAATTTTCCGGGTTTTTTTTTGTTGACAGATAATGCATGGGCTAACTGTCAAAAAACCTGAAAACTAAGGTAAGGTTGTTGAGGGAAGTAAAGCTGTTGAGGGAAGTAAAGCTGTTGATCCCCGGTTCATGAGATGATGGGTCGATAGGTAGGGTCCAGGTGTGGGAGCTGCCTCTCTGGCGTCGGTAGCATTCGCTATTAGCGAATAGCGAATTAGCAAAAAAAATGTGCCCACCACTGCATAACCATATGACAATCAAATCAAATTGAGTGCCCAGGATCACATTCTGACCATGTTACGGATGAAGTATCCAATTTTTAACTATCACCTAAACTCTACTATTTTATAGAAAATGTTATTCTGAACATATCTTCTGAAGTATGTAGTTGTGATTCTCAATCCACCAATGATCTCTTAGAGTAGGCAATATTCTCCAACTCCCACGTCAAAAAATGTCCCAAACATATATTTTTGTTTTATATACATAGGTTTCCAAGAGCAGTACGAGATCAAAAATATGTGCTTGCGTGCGATCAGTAATTTACTACTGACATGCTACAAATATCCGCGGATAGGCTTCGGCGATGGGAAATTCCATCACGTTCCTCGAAATTCACCCATCAAATGTGAAACTATAGGGTAAGCGCTGCTATTTCTGACTCTCGTGAAATATTGCCTAATTTCAATTACCCATATTTTCAGCTTAAAGAAACTCCATAACATCCAGCTTTTGATCCCGTCGAACAGCGTTTTCTATCAACCAAATTTGGAGCGGAATTTGTTGGTTGCGACTAAAGATGAGGGTCAATGCCTCGGTGACAGTGCAATAGGAACAGAGTCGTTTGGGGCGAATCAGTTTGCTGTTTGCTACTCGTGGCAAACCATGGAGAGTACGGATAACGAATCCCTAGTTGCGAAGAATATTAAGTACTTCATTGAGAAGGCCAATTTGGATGTGAAAAGTTCGGTGCAGTTGATTTACGACCTTTTTGAGCAGATGATAGAGGTTTGAGCGATAAGGCGTTGTAGAAAATTTCGAAGATTGGAATTTTTTTTTTTGCAGGATAATTTTGCCTTGGCTTTACCTCACCTGGTGCATTTTTGTGAGATTTGTGAGAACAGAGATCAAATTCGTCATCTCTACACCTTGGTGCTTGGATTGCAGGAAAGAGTCGCCATGGAGGATACGTTGTCGCAGCAGGTTTGTATTTGAAACGAGTTCTTTATTATATTACTCAAACAAAGTTTCTTTCACAGCACATAATATATCTACTGTGCAAGATGGCAGCACTGCTAGTACCAACGATGGCTGAGTTGACTCATCTTTGTACGATCATTCCAACGTACTTGAAGAGTACCCAACTGTACATCAGAGATGCAACACTAAATGGACTGATTTGCTTACTGGAATGCCTAGTAACTTCCAATACCACCATGGGTGGCTTGAGCGAAGAGCTGCAGTTACTGAGAATTATAATCGTCAACTATATTGTCAAGCACGGCATTATCGATGAAAGGTACTTTCGTTTTCCAAATGATGCTAACTTTTCACACATTTATTCCCTAAATTATTCCAGTGCAACAACGTTCAGTGACACTCACACGAAGCTGGTATGGACATTAAACTTTTATCTTATCGAAAACACGTCCCGATTTGTCTCGGATTGCAATTTGCCGTCCAATAGTATTATTTCAGCAAATAACATTCTGAAAAGGACGACAAATTTGGAAATCTACCTCTGTATACTGAATGTAAGTAATATAGACCAAGCTGCATATTGGGGACGATTTCTATCTTCTAATGATTGTTCAATTTGTTTAGGGCTTGGAAAGACTGGTCCTCACAAACACAACCGGCCGGCAGCTGCTGGAGAAGATTGAAAAACTGGCCCTCGATTTGGTCAAGCTAGATAATGAAATGTTTTCCCTGTCGGCATTGAAGCTTCTGCTAACCTGCATCTACCATAGTTCAACCGAGCAGCTGGAAAATACGGAGCGTTCCAATGGTATCGTACAGGACGAGCCTGAGATCATCATCCAACAAATCGAAAAAATCGAAATCCTCTTTGCAAAGATTCGCACTACAACCCCTCAGGGAGCAAAGATCTTTGGTGACGTCCTGTGTCAGCTGATTCGTGACCTATTACCACCGAATGAAATTCTCACTAAGGTCTTCAAAGAGCTTATGCTGAACCAACCCAACCCGGACATCATCGCTACCGTAACCTACCAAGTGTTCCGCTCAGCAATCGATTGTTCCTACCTGGCTCTGTTGCAGGAATGGTTGCTGTGCTCCCTGCCAAATTTTCTAGCATTCCCTCAGATTAACAAATCCGTTTGGTGCCTCACAGTGATATTCTTGTCCGCTTCACTAAACCAACATCTTCTGAAGATCTTTCCGGAGGTTCTTTCATTGCCTTCATATCAGCAGCTGAACGAACGAGAATTACACAATTTCATTCTATCAGCAAAGGATTTCTACCGTCGTTTGGATTCATCGCAAAAGGTTAAATTTAAGGAAATATTTCAGCAGAGCGATTCTTTCGTGTATCAGAGTCTGATGCGTTGTCTGTGAGAAGGTTTCAGAAGGTGCGATTTTATCTTTACGTGTTTACTAAAAGTGCAACAGTTTATGTTATTTTTACAGGAAGAAAAACTCTATATTGTATTGCTATTTATGACAAATTTGAATTAGTAATATAAACTAAAACGTTGAACTCGAATAATCAAAAAGGTGTGTTTTTCTATTTCCCGAAATCTTTTGTTTGCTTCATTAAACAAAATTACTTCTTGTTCGATAACATTTCAACTCGTGTTCTTCAGCGCGAGAAACATGAGGCCATATTAATAAAAAAGAGTTAACTTTTCTTTCCCGTGCTTTTCTTACCAAATGACTAAAGAAAACTGTTTCATTCATATGACCTATAGTTTCTAAACATAACGCCATGCCCCTCTCCTGGCTTTTTTTTTCAAAAATAGTCTTCATTATGCGAGTTGATACCGCTGTATAAATATCAACGTCCAATCTTTCCACCATTAAAATGTGTCTCAAACAATTTCTGACTAGTGTCCAAAAATGCTCATATCCGAAAGCTATACCAAATACGTCCCGGATGGTGGATATCTGTACTTATTGCCCCGATGTTCCAGAAGCTATCCGAGAAAGATAACGAACTTATTTGACGGCAACGACTTCAACAAACCAGAATTATTGTAACATGCACCCTAGGGTGGCTTATAGGGTATTTGCGTGACCTCTAAACCACAGACAAAAATACATAGCTCTTGGAAGGAAATTATTCAAAAATATTGTCAAGCGTATTTTGCATGCACACTAGCACCCTCTATCATGCACTTTCCCAAGCATTGGTCTGCAACCGGAGCATCCCTCGTTCAGGAATTTTTTTTCACTGGTTGCTTTTCCTTCGATCTGTCAACACGCCAGCTGTGTTGAATAAAAACAAAACAAATGCAAGTCAGTGATGTCGGTTTGATTCAATTTTGCAGAAATACGGATCCGTAGGAGGTATTCACAGAAGCTCAGACTTTTATTAGGGATTTGTTTTGTTTGTTTAGTGTAATTTGTCTTTTGCTGACCGTTAGTTTTGGGGAAATTTTTCGTGAGAGATAATGCTGTTTTTGGAATAAGGGTTTCTACCCAATAAATTTCGATGGTAGTGAAGCTGGCTCGATCTCTCTTTTTAGGAAGATTACACTTGGACTTGCCCTGAGGCAGTCTCATCCAGGCAAACTCAGCATGTGGTCTCCTTTACCGGAGTGGCGCTTAAGCCCCATGCTTACCCAAGATCGACCAGTGACGGCTACAATGTTCTTATTTTAATATTAATACCAAATTTAATAGACTATGTATTCACATTTTTATGAGGTCCTGAATTTGGCTAAGTTTTACTAAGTATGAAATCCAAAATACGTATGTGCATAGGACCGAAATAATATTAGGTTATATAGGTTACTTCTATTGTATTTTAAAACAACATCAACAAAGATACACGAGAACTTCACCAAACATCTTAAAATAGTCTACGTCAACTATATCAACCGCGATTGGTCGGTATATTTGTTTTTGCGCTTTGTTCGTTTAGTTGATTCAAATCTTTACACTTAAAACTATTTAAACATAGCAATTGGTGACCAAACCAATATACGAAATTTAATGTAACAGTAAGTAAAAGAAAAACTGTTAAAGGAAAGCTACCGTGTACCTGATGACAATTGATGATTATTAGAACCTGTAATTTCATGGCTTGTAAGTGTCGATATTTTGGACCGATTTTTTTTTCTGAAAACAATATGCTAACGTAAAACTAGGTCTTTGATTTCTATATGGGGGTACACTTTGTGAAAACCGAAAATGGAACATGTAACAAATTAAGAAAGATTTTGAACGTTAATAACTCAGCTGGCCCTGGTCCAATTTCAATAATTTTATCACCAATCGATCAGAAATATGGCTACGTATCGATAAAAATTATTTCGATAAATCGATTTCGTATGTTGATTTTCAACAAGAAACTATTGAAAAACTGGTAAATGTCCAGCATTGTCCAAAAGCGTTGAATTAACTAACAAATCCACCAATTACCTACATGCATATTAGACTGATGCAGAATTTGAAATTTTCGCTCCACAGTGCTTAAACAGTTCCAAATTGGGTCCTGATTATCCTCCTTAAATTTGAACTCCTTTAGTAAGAACCTGATTTGGCACAAATCATTTGAAGTTTATATGGAAATTACTATGGAGAAACCATAATTTTGGTTCATATCGATCTCAAAATTCACCACTTCTCTCTACTTTAGAAAATGATTACTGATTGTTGAAAATTTTCTCAGCTACAACTTTGTTGAAGACCACTTTTCGATCAAATGTAAGGAACAAAAATTATTAATGATTCAAGTCACTGATGTCTTATGATTATTCAGCAGGCAACATTGGTGTTTATAGCACGTAGAATAGAGGACAAAAATCATGACTACTATGTCACTCTGCAGAATTATTATTATTATTTAACTTTATTAATGAGGCTTTCAGCCTTGGGCTGGTTCGCCTCCATCACTCTGCAGAATACAGTGTTGCCCACTATACAGTTGCTTAATCTGCCATAAGATTATCAATCTCTTAAACAATTAATAACTATTTAATTTGACGTTTGGCTGAAAAACAATTTTCTGCAAAGTTGTAGCTGATAAAAATTCCCATAAGAATAGCAATAGAACTAGTTGACAGTACAATATGGAAAAAGGCTAGAAGACAATGAACAAAAAGTTTGGTTGTCCCATAGTAATTTCCATATAAACTTCAAATGGTTTGTGCCAAGTCAGTTTCTTATCAAATGAGTTTAAACTTTCGGAGGCTAATCAGGACCCGATTTGAAACCGTTTGAACACTGTGGAGTGAAAATTTCAAATTTTGCATCAGTCGAATGCATATGCTGCTTCCCCAGCACAGTCGTCAGAGAGTAGTAAGTAGACGAAACAAGTCGAAGCGGCATTCGCCTCCGATCCTTGGGAACGTGCGAATAGGGAGGATGAAATTGCGTAATATTGTGCACACTCATCGCCATATTCAGAACCAAACGCAAATTCTTCGAGATTACTACCATCCGTTGTTTGGTTCGCCGTGGCGTTGTCTGACGTATCTCCGGTCTGATTTACGAGGTGTGCTGAAGGTGTTCCTGAAAAATGAGATCCGTGATGCTGTCACCTACACTAAAAACGCCAAGCGTAAGCGGCCGGATGTCATCTACGTTTTGAAGTGACAGAGACGCACTCTGTTTGGTTTCGGAGGTTAAATCATCACCAACTTTGGCAACAAACCGGCTCTTATCAGGGCCTCCAAGCTTATTACAGTAAAGAGTGGGAATAGAATTCATCTGCCTGTTTGTCCATATTCAGAACCGACGACTACACAAAATGCTCATGTAATCAAACTGGAAGCAGGGGTACACATTATTTTGATCAACCTTGATCAACTTTGAATCGCCACGGCCGGATATTTTCGATGGAAGAAGCAACAATCTAGAATCTAATTCGACGAAGACGGCAGGAAACATTTGTGAAGCCGAGTTATTTACGAAAAAGAGTGTCGATTTAGAGAATCGATCAATGTAGATAGGACCTATTGAAAAGTGACGCGAGATTTGTTTTCCGTACTGAGCTCCACTGCTACCGACGCCAGGGAGGCAGCTCCCACACCTGGACCCTACATATCGACCCATCAACTCATGAACAGGGGACCAACGGCTTTACTTCCCCAAGGAAGGTGGGATCAGATATGTTATGCCTCAGAACATACCGGTGTGACTGAGATTGAACCCAGGCCTGCTGGTATGAGAGGTAATCACGCTTACCACTTCACCACCGCCGCCGCTAACTTTCAAAGTGTTGTCATTGGCAAACCTACGCAAAATGAAAGGCACCAGTGTCGCTACTTGATAGCAAACTACTCATGATGGGAGGAGTCTTTGTAGCTTTTATACCACTTGGTTGCACATCATTCTGCTTTAACCTGAAAAGATATAAAGCCGCGCTGCTGTCTGGCATTAGCTCATTTTTTCGATCATTCGCTGCCAGACTGTTGAGCAGTTCAGTCGATTTGAATTCTCTCTAGTTTCGTTCGTTCGTTCGCAAGTCAAATTAGCTCCGCGTTGTGTAGTGACGCTCTCGCTGACCCAGCCATGGGTAAGAAATCGCGCGGTAACGCGAGTGCCGGTTTACCGGGAAAACAGACTCTCCCAGGAGACGGCGCGACCACCGAGCCAGCCCAGAAGAAGCAGAAGAAAACCCCATTGCCCATCCCGACAGGCGTTGTGGACCCGCAGCCGGGGCCTCCCGGAACTAAACGACCCAGACCTGAAGACAGCAGCGCCACCGTATCAGCAGCAAAAAAGCTGCTGAGCAACAATCCGTTCTCCGCCCTGCAGAACGGAGCGCAGCCGCAGTCGGACCCTGAGACGGTGCCGAAAAAAGTTAAGTTGCCACCCTTCTATGTGAAGGGCTTCCCTCCCGGGCTATGGGAGCAGCTGGATTTCTACATTAAGCAGGGCCTTCGCTGCACCATTCAACGGTGCACGGAAGGCTACAAACTGATGGTCCCGGCCGAAAAACACTTCAACGCAGTTCAGGCCCTCTTGGACAGAATGAAGCTGGAGTACTTCTCCCACGACATCGAGGCCACCAAGCCGCTGAAAGTGGTGCTGCGCGGGCTCCACGACATGGACACCACCACCTTAATGGACGAGATTAAGGCGAACGGCCTCAAGCCGGTCGAAATCCACAAGATGACCCGCAGCAAGGCCATCAAGTATCGTGACCAGCTCTACCTGGTCCATCTGGAGAAGAACTCCACAACCGTGAAGGATCTCCAGACGACACGCACACTGTTCCACATCGTAGTGAAGTGGGAGCGGTATAAACCCACCCACCGTGGCGTCACTCAGTGCTCGAACTGCCTATTGTTCGGGCACGGCACCAGGAATTGCCGCATGGCCAGCCGCTGCATCAAATGCGGCAAAAACCACAAGATTGACAACTGCGACAGCATCGAGGAAGCCACTCCCACATGCGCCAACTGCGGTGCCGCCCACAAGGCCACGAGTAAGGCCTGTCCGAAGCGGGCCGAATACGCCGAGATCCGGAAGAAGGCCTCGTCCGACAGCCAGCCCGGTCGCAA